CTCAGGGTGTGGGGCTCTGGGTGTGGGGCTCAGGGTGTGGGTCTCAGGATGGGGCTCAGGGTGTGGGGCTCAGGGTGTGGGGCTCAGCAGTGAGCACAGCAGCACAGAGCCCCTGGCTGCTGCTGCACTGGCTCCCTGCGTGCCCCCAGTCCCTGCCGCTCCTGCTGAGGGGACAGTGACAGTGTTGGCACAGCGGGGTCTGTGGGTGCCGGGAGCAGAGGGTTCCCGTGCCCTGTACGCTGCGCCCTCACTGCCGATGCGGCCGCCTCGGATCCAGGATCTGGGTCAGGCTGGCAGCTCCGCAGCTGCCCTGGCCACCACGGGCCTCACGGGTGGCTGTGCCTGCTGTCCCCTCTCTGAGCTGGGGACTTCGTGCCCGTCTGAGGTTTGAACAGAGTTTCAGCCGTTCCTGTGAGCGGCAGGGGCTGGAGATGCTTGGGGCAGGGACCCCTCTGGACTCTGCTCCGCAGCGTGGGGAGCTGGTTTGACTCAGACTAGCAGACTGTAAAAAGGTCTGAAAATCAGACTGTGGTGGTCAGTGTCACTGAGCAGCCCGAGCTGCTCCCCTCGGGGTCACGGGTGGCATTTGCTCAGTTGCTGGGCCTTGGCAGTGGCAGCTCCTGTCCCTTCTGGCCTCTGGGGATGCTGCGGGGCCCTGAACCATCCTCCCTCGCTGGGAGCAGGGCTGGCAGCTGTCCTTCCTGGAGGGCACAGGGGCAGGGGACAGTGTTTGTCTCTGTCCTGCCCTTGGCTTCTTGTGTCCCCGTGTCCCCCGGAGCCCTGGGTACCCCTGTTCCCCCTCCTTCCCGCTCCCATCCTGCAGCTGCTGTTGCCGTGACAACACATCTCTCCCGACACCATTTCCCTCTGAAACCTGCAGTCCTTGCACGGTGGGCTTTCCCCTGGCTGCGCTCCAGAGGGGCAGCTGAGAGCCCCTTACGTCAAAAGGCTGGAAACGTCCTCGCTGCAGGGTGGAAATCTCCAGATCCCGGCGGGAGGGAAGGAATCTCTGGGGGTGGCGGCGGAGGATGAGGCCGCTCGCGCTGTGACGGGTGAATCACTGAATCCCAGAACGGGCTGGGCTGGAAGGACCTTAAATCCCATCCCGTCCCACCCCTGCCATGGCAGGGACACCTCCCGCTGTCCCAGGAGCTCCCAGCCCCGTCCAGCCTGGCCTGGGCACTGCCAGGGACCCAGGGGCAGCCACGGCTGCTCCGGGCAGGCACAGAAGGGATGGAGGAGTGACAATGCAATTTGGGTGATTATTTACCAGTTAAGGTGAGGGTGCGCCCTGATGGGGCAGGGAGAAAAGAAATGCTTGGACTCTCTGGCCACTGTAGTTGTTGCTTGTGGCAATGGGCAGTAAATTGGGAGGTCTCTCTGGGGGTTTTCTGGGTTTTGGATGGGTGATTCTCTGCTCTGAGCTCCTGGAATCAGTGCTGCAGCTCTGATGCTGGCAGGGCACAGGCACTGAAGTCCAGTGTGTGCCTTGCCATTGGATGGGGATGCAGCTCTCACTCAGCACTATCCTGTATTTTCTTAATATTATTAACCTAAGTTTTATAAATCCTCATGGCAAGAAAATCAATGCAAAAATATTCCATTACCTTATTTTGCTTTTTTAATTTTAGAAACTAATTGTCTCTTGAGAAGCCATTACAAGGCTCTTTGGGTTGTGTTTAACTCCCAATTCTGAGAAATCCCCACAGGGAACAGCAACAGGAAAAGTCAGTGCCTGGTCCCTGGGAATGGCAGAGGTGTGGGGCTCCAGACTGAGCTGGAGATAAAGCCCAGGATCTGCTGGATCCTGACTCAGCCAGAGCTGAGGGATTCAGTGGCTTCAGCCTGGAGAAGAGAAAGCTCTGGGAATACCTTAGAGCTCCTTCCACTGCTCAGTGGGGCTCCGGGAGAGCTGCCGAGGGACTGGGACAGGGGCCTGGGGTGCCAGAACAAGGTGGAATGGCTCCCACTGCCAGAGGGCAGGGATAGAGGGGACACTGGGAGGGGAGTGTTCACTGGGAGGGCGGGCAGGCCCTGGCACAGGTGCCCAGCTCAGCTGAGGCTGCCCCTGGATCCCTGGCAGTGCCCAGGGCCGGGCTGGACAGGGATCAGAGCAGCCTGGGATAACAGAAGGTGTCTGTGCCCACGGCAGGGGTGGCACTGGATGAGCTTTGAGGTGCTGCCAGCCCGAGCACCCGCAGCCTCTGCCCCGGGTGACACAGCCGCCGCTGCCGTGCCTGGCAGTGAGGAGAGGCGCGGAGCGGGGCAGGAGCAGATCCGGGGGTGCGCTGCTCGGAGCGGCTGTCGGGGAGAGCGGGTCCGTGTTCGGTGACAGCGCGGAGCAATGCCCCGCGGTCAGCGGCGCTCCGGGGCGGGCGATGCTGCGCCGTGCCCGGGGCCGTGCCCTGCCCTGCCAGGGCTGCCAGGGCCGCCGTGGGACCCCGGGCTGCCGTGGGACCCCGGGCTGCCGTGGGACCCCGTGCCCTGCCGGGGCTCGGCTGCCGGCCTCGGTGCGCTCCTGTCCCTGGGGCCGCCCTGAGTGAGCCCTTGGCTCCCGTGCCCCGCTGCCCGTGCAGCCGCTGTGGGGGCTGAGGCAGGGCTGGCGGGGACAGGGACGCGAGGGATGGTGGAATGTGCACACGCGTGTCCCGCAGCCTTCCCTCGCCCTGTGCCGGGTCCGGGTGCTCGGCCCCGCTGCCCCAAGGGCTGCATCAACTTTAATATCTCTGCCGAGTGAAATTTCCTGGTGCGGCTTTCATGTCCGCTGGGACCCTTATGAAATATCCGGCTTCTGTTTTTTTCTCTGAAGAAGTGGAATTTCCTATTCGGGACTTTAATATCGGGGCTACGTGCTCGGGGCGAGAAGCAGCCCCGGCGCTGGCTCAGCCCTCGCCCCTCTGCCCCTCTGCCTCAGGAATTCGGCTGCCTCAGGACTTTTCCGGCGGCGCTAAGCCGTCTTTTCATGGCTGATCGCCCCACCTGCCCCGGGGGAAAGCCAGATACACGCTGACAACCCGCCGGCGGCTGTTTGCAGAGGGATCACACGAGGTCCCGGCCCCCCGATGAACCCCTGATGCAGAAGCGGCTCTCGGGACGGGGCGCGCACGTCTGGGGCTCCTGGGGGCTCCGGGCGCTCGCCCCACACATTTAGCGTTCCCGGGAGCTTCAGGCATCACCCTGGCAGGTCTGGGGCTCCCGGGAGCTCCTGCTGCCCCCAGGGAAGGCCCCAGTGCCGAGGGATGCCGTGACCGCTCCAGGTCTGTCCCCCGACCCCTCGCGGTGGGATGCTGGGGACGACCTTCCCCGACCTCCTCGCTTCATTCTGTGCGTCCACCGCCACCTCCACACCCCCCTGGGCAACGGGAGCAGCCGGAGGGGCTGCGTGGGACTAGAACAGTCCCGGGACCCCCGAGTGCTCCGAGCCCACTGGTGCCAGCCCACGGCGGTGCGTGCCCGGAGCCGCGGTCACATCCTGCCCCGCTGGCCTGGGTCTGGACTCACTGCGGGGCACAAAGAGCCATCCACGAGTGGCAGAGCCTGTCCCAAATACCGACCCTCGCCTCTCTGCTCCAAGGGGTGCTCGGGTTTCACGGCAGGGACCGGCTGGGGCGCAGCTCTCGGTCCCCGCGGGCGCTGCCGTGGGGCCACCGCGGCCGGGGGAGCCCCGGGGCACAGCCCGGCTCGCCCAAGGGGCAGCGGGAGGAGGGAGCCGTGCCTGGCACGGGGCACTGTGCCCACCACTGGGGCAAAGTGGCACTGACTCCCGCACTGGGGCTGAGGCAGTGTCTGGGGCCAGGCCAGGGCTCAGGACGGGGCCCCAGCTCAGGAGCAGAGGGCCGGGTTTAGGGGGTGCACCTTTCGGGGTGCATCCCCTGCCCCGGCCAGCCTGTGCAGGCAGTATCTGACACAGATCCGTGCCTCCACTCTGCTCCCTGCCCTGATGCCCACCCCTGGGAACTCAGGGGATCTGGGGCACCCACCCTGCGGGGCTCGGGGACCCCCTCCAGCCTTTGTCAAGCAGCAGGGTGTGCAGGGAGCTGCAGGGCGGTGCTCTGGGGGTGGCAGTGTTTTGGGGAGCCCCATGGGGCTGCAGCAGTCGGTGGCTGTGGGGGTCACGGGGGGCCAGGGCAGCCCGGGGGTGTGGGCCATGCAGCCCATGGGATTCGGGCAGGCCAGGCTGTATACCCTGTGGAAAGAAACCTCCCCCCTGTGCTGGTGCTGGCTCTGTCCTCTCCACCCACGGACAAGCACCCCAGAACGCCGGTGTGCTGGCACACACTCTGCAGAACGCTCCAGCGGAGGCAGGAAAGATCTGCCTGCTGGGAATCGCTGGAGAACTGGGAAAAGGAGGACGGACACATGAAGGGATTCCGGGTGCTTTAGAGCATCGGTCTGTCGTGCAGGGACAGCCCCCGTGGGACCCCCGGCAAACAACCCCAGGCTGGGCAGGACATGGGCTGCGGCACCCCAAGGGGGGTGGGAGCACAGACACCCCCTTACCTCATCTGGGGTTCGCTGCCCTTGTCCCTCTGCAGTGCTCATCATTTCCTCCGTCTGCTGTGCCTGGAGGTGGCTGGCAGGAGCTCACCTAGAAACCCAGGGAAATATTGGCAATAAATAGCTTTAAACGGGAACAATTCCAGGCGCAGGAAAGCCCAGGAGTTTTACACTCGTTTCTTACTTTTATAATGATTCTTTACACTGGTCCCAAAGAATCCCGAGCTAACTTCGCTGAAACACAAGCAAACAGTAACGCATTAAAAAGCATTTCAAGACCTTTTTCCAAAAAGATGCATTTTCCTGCTGGAGACCTGCTGCAGATGCTGAAAGGGAAAATCCCGGAGTGACGGGACCTGCCAGGTTTTAGTGAAAAAAGGAACTTCTGTATCCCCTGCAGTTGCTTTGCGGCCGGTTCGTTCTGAGCCCGCATCTGGAGCTGCAGCTGGAGCCGGGATAGCCCCGGGGCCACCGGGGCCAGCGCGGCAGGACGGTCGCTCGTGTCACTCGCGCACCCTTATCAGTTCTCCGTCCAACAGTCAGAGTGCAGAAGCTGGGCTGGAAAAGTGATAAGGGCACGAGAGCGGCCTCAGGAGACCGGCGGGGAGCCGCGGGGTGACCGGGGCCGGAGGTCGCCTCTGGTCCCTCGGGAGCGGGACGCGGCACCTCGGGGCGCCCCGAGCGCAGCCTGCCCGCGCTGCCCGCAGCGAGTGCCCGCGCCCCTGGGCTCCGTCTGCTCCAGCCCCCCGGACACTCCCCACTGACAACTTTCATAACGCAGTCCCCTCCCTGCGGGGAGGGCCCGTCCCCGGGCCCGCGGGGCTGAGCCGGCACCCGGCCGGGTGGGACCTGCCCGCCGCCGGATTAAGCGGAATGAATCGCGGGGGTGCAGCCGGGCGGATTCGTCTGACGCTGCAGAAAGGCAGCCACAGCCGCCGCGGACCCCAGCCCGGCAGCAAACCCCCATCGCGGCGGCGGGGAAGGGTCTGGTACTGCTGCTCCTGCTCCGGCTGCTCGGAGAGGAGTTGGGGCGCCTGTGCCGGGGGTGATACCCCGTCCTGTGCCCCAGGGCTGCTCCCCCTGTGTCACCGTGTCCCCGTGCTGTCCTTCACCTCCCTCCTGAGCTGTCCCGGTGTGGGCAGCGGCACAGGAACCCCCCGAGCTCCGGGCTGTGCCCATCAGGCTGTCCTGGCTCGGCTGCCCGGTGGCCAGGGACCGGCTGCATTCGGCCCTGGGCACACACGGGGTTTGGTGGCAGCGGTGGGAAGGGTGGGGGTGACACAGCAGCTGTCAATGCCAGTGCCTTGGGCTGGCTCAGGCACCCTGCGTCCTCCCTGTCCTTCTCCCAGCATCTCCTTCCTCCCCACTCACTGCTTCCCAGGGCTTTGCTGCCCTTTCCCAAGCATGGAACCAGCACAGGATGACATTTCAGGTGGAAATAGCATTTTTCCCAAACTAAAACACCTCTGTAGCTCCTGTTGGAGGACAACGAGCTGTGGGAGCTCCTGCATTTGTGGGACATCAAGGCCTGTGTTGGCCGAGTGGCTGTGGCTGCAGTTCCTTCTGGTTTTGGGCCAGGTTTATTTGCTGCTCAGAGGACAAAAGGTGCTGATGGGCACGTGGGAGGCAGCTGGAGCCACTTGGCACCACTGTGCTCCCTGTGTCCCCGGGGGTGGGACACTGTCCTTCGCCCCTTGACCCCACAGGGCAGGAGAGAGGGGGAGATGATGGCAATCATGTCCCCTCTGTTCTGGATGGTGCGAGATGGAGAAGTTTGACACACCAGGCCAGCAGCAAAGGGCTGTGCGAGCATGCCACTTGTGCAAGGGGCCAGTGTCCAACAAGCACCCCCTGCCCAAACTTCCCCCGGCAAAAGACCCCCAGCTCACGCCAGGGCGTGGGCACAGCCCTTCTCCTCCCAGCTGTGAGGAGTCCCAGGCAGTTTTGGGAAAGCCTCGAGCTCCAGGGCCAGGCAGCCCGGCCCGCAGCGCTGCTGGAGCTCTCGGGGCGCTCCCACCGGCCCCGCCGAGCCCCTCCGGGCACGGTGGAGCCGCAGCGGCCAGACAGGGCCTGCGGGCTGGCTTTGATCGGGGCTGGCTTTGATCGGGGCTGGCTTGGCCGGGCCAAGGCTTTGATGTCCCCCAGCGGCGCTGGGCAAGCACAAAGACTCAGCGCAGCCGCAGGGCCCGTGTTGGTTTAGGTGATTGTGTAGCTGAGGCTCCCGGGATGTGAATATTCGGGGCAGAGTAAACAAGGCTTGCTCCCGAAATGGGCTGCTTGGCACAGGCTGCTCGTTCCGTGCTGGCAGAGGGGCTGCTGTGCCAAGGCAGGGCAGCGATGGGGCCGGGGCTGAGCAGGTGGGGCTGTGATGTCCCATAGGTCCCAGATCTGGGGCTACGATTGTCCCATGGCCTCCTGGCTCTGTGGCAGTCACGAGGGGCTGGTGCCCTGTGTGCCAAGCTGCTGCTGCTCCCATCAGCAGGTTTATTTGTGCTGCCTGTCCCCCCCAGCTCTGCTATTAAAGACTGAGATCCCTGGCGGGGCGGGGGATCCCCCGAGGCGGGAGGAAATTGCAAATACCTCGGAACCCTTCCCTGCTCAGAGCAGCGGCTGGGACCCCTGAGGGTACGGAGGGCCCTGGCGTGCCCTGCCAGCTCCACAGGTGACAGCAGCCTCGTGTCCTGTGGGCACCTCGGGGGGATGTGCCAGGGCTGGCAGCAGACTGAGCTTCCCAAACCTCCAGCTTAGGGCTGTGCTCGACTGCTTGGAAGGGACCCCACACAGCATCTCCTTCCAGCCCCCGACACGAGCAGGGTCTAACCCAAACCTTCCACCACACCTGGTGGCTCCAAAACCCGCCCGACCTGGCCTGAAGCACTTCCAGGGCAGGGGAGCCGCAGCCCGTGCCCTGGCGAGGTGCCCGCGGTGGCGGCGGGGCTGCGCTGCTTCCCGCAGCCGCTGGATGTCACCTGCAATATGGGCTGTGCGGCACGGCCCGGACCGGCACGGCTCGGACCGGCACGGCTCGGACCGGCACGGCTCGGAACGGCACGGCTCGGACCCCTCATGGCTCGGACCCCTCATGGCTCGGACCCTGCACTCACAGCCCCTGCCCTGTGCTCACAGTCCCTGCCTTGCCCTGCACTCTCAGCCCCCTCCCAGCACAGCCCTGCGCTGCCCCAGCCCCTCCCTGGGCCGGTGTCAGGGCATCCTGGTGGCTCTGGGCTTTCCAGAAGAATGCAAACCGAGTGAGGGATCAAAGGTCAGTGAGCAGGAGAGCAGATATTTCTGGAAAGCCCGGGAGCAGTGATTGCTCACAGCCTGGCACGCACGGCCGGCGCTGGCTGGGCACGGCTGCGCTGGCAGAGGGAGGTGACAGCCGAGGGTCCCCACACCGGGGTGGGAGCCCGACCTGAGTGCACAGGGCTTGTGGGGACAGCCCCGGGCCACACAGGGCCACCCCTGGCCTCGGGTGGGCCTTTGGAAAGTGAGGAGCAGCTGGAGCACGACCAGGAGAGGCCATGGAGCCGCTCTGCTCTGGAGCCAGGCTGGCAGAGCTGGGGGGGCTCACCTGGAGGGGAGAAGCTCCAGGGAGAGCTCAGAGCCCTGCCAGGGCCTGAAGGGGCTCCAGGAGAGCTGGAGAGGGACTGGGGACAAGGCAGAGAGGGACAGGACCCAGGGAATGGCTCCCACTGCCAGAGGGCAGGGCTGGATGGGATATTGGGAATTGGGAATTGTTCCCTGGCAGGGTGGGCAGCCTGGCACAGGTGCCCAGAGATCCCTGGCAGAGCCCAAGGTCAGGCTGGATGGGGCTGGGACAGTGGGAGGTGCCCCTGCCATGGCAGGAGTGGAACAAGGGGGTTTGTGAGATCTCTTCCAACCCACAGCATTGTGGAATTCGGTGATGTGGCAGCTGTTCCCCTCTCCTGAGCTCGGAGTCTCTCACAGGCAGAGGCAGCACACAGCTGTGCTGCAGGTGTGTGTGGAGCAGAGCTGAGAGAGCTCCAGAGCCCCGAGCTCCCGGCGCTTTTCCAATTACAAACGGGATTGAAGTCGATCTAATATAAAAGAGACGATGGACCCACGTCATGAGGAGCTGGCGCAGGCAGACGGTCCCTCCTCATTTCAGAGACGCTCCCTGGCTCAAGGGCCAGTCTCCATTTCCCAGCCAGAGCCCCTGGTGCCCCTACCATGGGCCAGATGCTCCCAGTGCCCCCAGCTGGGCCAGCGGCACCCCCAGGATGGGCTGAGGGTGAGAGCAGCCCCCCAGCCCACCCCCAGCCCCGTCCCCGGGGGCTCTGGGGACTCCGGCTGCACGCGGGCTCAGCCCACGGCCACTTCTCCCCGCTCGCTTGGGCGGGGGACGGGCTCCTCCTCTTTCCTCATTCCCACTTATTTTTGGCTCCCAAGTTGTCATAAATGATTTGAGCTCAACAGTTTTTAAAATTTGAGCTCCAAACAGCTATTTAAAGCCTTGACAGGATGCAAGAGTCTATTAGGAGCTTATTTTAGAGCCTTTCGTAGGGTGAGAGGCTCACTCAGCACCACTTGCTCCCCAGTGACGGACTGAGAGCAGCGTGGGAGCCCCACTGGGCACCGTGGGGCTCTCAGGGCTGGTGTCCTGCGTGGGGCAATGGCAGGACCCCCTTTCTCGGTGCCAGGGAAGCCAAGCAGGCACACAGTGCCCGGGCACCAGCTGCTTGGCATCAAGCACTGCACAGCAAAATGGATTTGATTGGAGAGGGCTTTGAATGCCATTGCCAGATCTTAAAGTTCTTGTGATTAATACAGCAGTAAATTAGCATGCTGAAGATTTTAAAACTTCTGTTAATTGGAGGTTGATGTTACTCAGTGTCCCAGTGCTTCAGGATGGAGGAATCTTCCCAAGCAGCACCATTTCTCTGCACACTGTTCCATTCTGACCTCGTGCACATGGATTTTCCTCCCAGTTCTGGTGGCCTCACACATTTTATTATTTTATTTTATTTTATTTTATTTTATTTTATTTTATTTTATTTTATTTTATTTTATTTTATTTTATTTTATTTTATTTTATTTTATTTTATTTTATTTTATTTTATTTTATCCTGACTATTGTTCTGATCTGGGATTTTTTTTGGCCTGCATTTAATTAGTCATAATTCAGAGGTTTTCATAAGTCACACACTGCACATGCTGAAGTGCTAATGAGGCATTTCCATGCTGAATCACCACCTAATGATTTAGCAGGATGATTTTGTTATTAAATCCCAACCCCTGGCTCTGGCGAGCAGCGCTGGGAGACGCCTGTTTGCTAATACACGGAGACAGTGGAATGCAAGCAGAAAATATTATGAACTCGTCATGGGAGCGCTGCCATATCGATGTGGCACCTGCACCTGCCTGCGGGGCAGATCGGTCCCGCAGCTCCGGCTGTGCGGGGGCGGCCGCGGCACCCACCCCATCCCCGGGGCCGGGGGCTGCCGGGGGCTGCCGGGGGCTGCCGGGGGCTGCCGGGGCTGCCGGGGGCTGCCGCAGCACCCACCCCATCCCCGGGGCCGGGGGCTGCCGGGGGCTGCCGGGGGCTGCCGGGGGCTGCCGGGGGCTGCCGGGGGCTGGCTCTGCAGCACCCCCCT